TTCATCTGTCGATGGACATCTTGGCTCTTTCCACAGTTTGGCTATTGTGGACATTGCTGCTATAAACATTGGGGTGCACGTACCCTTTCGGATTCATACTTTTGTATCTTTGGGGTAAATACCCAGTAGGATTACATACTCTTTTGAGAATCACCACTTAACACCAAGAACAAAATATAACTTGTGCTTAAGTGAACTTATCAAAGACTTAGATCTGCTCTACAAAAAAAAGGTATTCTGGTATTTGGGTTTTTTAGTATTACTTCTGATAATTAAAGTTAGCAGATAAGGGGTGCCTGGCTGGCTCAGTCAGAAGACCATGTGACTCTTGATCTCGGGGTCATGAGTTTGACTCCCACACTGGGATACTTAAATATATATATACTTAAATATATAAAACTTTCAAAATATATAAGATAAATGAAAAAAAGAGTTAGCAGATAAATTAGTATTTCATTTCCACTTCAGCATACAGATAAGAATTGAGTCCTAATAGGGAGGAGGAAAACGAATAGTTTATTAGAGAAAGTTTAAAAGGACACTATTAGGGGCACCTGGCTGGCTCCATTGGTGGATCGACTCTTGATCTTAGGGTTGTGGGTTCAAGCCCCTTGTTGGGCGTAGAAATTACTTTTTTTTCCTTAAGATTTTAACTATTTATTAGAAAGGGAGAGAGCAAGCAAGCACAAGTGGGTGGAGGGGCAGAGGGAGCAGCAGACTCCCCACTGAGCAGGGAGCCTGACGTGGGGTTCAATCCCAACACCCTGAGATCATGACCTGAGCCAAAGGCAGATGCTTAACCAACTGCGCCACCCAGGCGCTCCAGGTGTAGAGATTACTGAAAACATAAAATTAAAAAAAAAAAAAGGATAGCTTTTCTTTAGAAAGCCAGTGACAATAAGTCATTGTTAACCTGTTTACACAATACATCTGTTTTGCAAAACTTTAGGTGTATAATAACAGTAAGGACCAGTTACTTTTATTTATTTACTATTTTTTAAGATTTTATTTTGGGGGCACCTGCTGGCTCAGTTGGTAGAAATGCGACTATTGATTATTTTGGGGGCACCTGGTGGCTCAGTTGTTAGTCGTCTGCCTTCAGCTCAGGTCATGATCCCAGGGTCCTGGGATCGAGCCCCGCATCGGGCTCCCTGCTCAGTGGGGAGCCTGCTTCTCCCTCTCCCACTCCCCCTGCTTGTGTTCCTTCTCTGTGTCTCTGTCACATAAATAAATAAAATCTTTAAAAAAAAAATAAATCTTTCAGCCCTTTTCACATTTATTCAATGCTGCCATCATCATCATTATAAAGACTCTGGGAATAGGAATGCAGGGAGGGAAGGAAGGTACCTTGAGAAGGCATAACCAGCTATAATGCTATGGATTATTTTAGCTTCATTTAATCTCAAATTAATCATGACATTTCTTGCTTTTCCCTGAAGTACTGAACTCAAAATACAAGTTGTACTTAATCAAGATCAGTCTTCAGAAACTGTCCTCTACAATTTACCAGTATTTCCCACTTAGAAAACTTTTTTTTGGGACGCCTAGATGGCTCAGTCGGTTAAGCGGCTGCCTTCGGCTCAGGTCATGATCCCAGGATGCTGGGATTGAGTCCCTCATCAGGCTCCTTGCTCAGCAGGAAGTCTTCTTCCTCTGCCCTGCTCTGCCTGCCGCTCCCCCTGCTTGTGCTCTCTCTCTCTGACAAATAAATAAAATCCTTTTGAAAGCAAGCAAGCAAGCAAGCTAGCTTTCTTTTGATTTTTTTGGACCTTTTTTCCTCCAACTCCCTCCCCCAACTTTCAATTTTGAAAATTTTCATACCTACAGAAAAGCTGAAAGAATATACGATGAAAATGAACACCCAGGGGCACCTAGTGGTGCAGTCGGTTGAGCATCCAACTCTTGGTTTTGGCTCAGAATGTGATCTCAGGGTCCTGAGATTGAGCCCCACATCAGGCACTGCACTCCACATAGAGTCTGCTTAAAATTCTCTCTCCCTCTGCCCCTCCTGCTCATGTTCTTTCTCTCTCTCAAATAAATAAATCTTTAAAAAAATAAAAAAAAATACAATGAACACCCATATTGTCTTCACCTAGATTCACTGTTTTTTACATTGAGCTTTTTATTCTAAGATACTTGTAAATTCATATGCAGCTGTAAGAAATAATATTGAGGGGCACCTGGGTGGCTCAGTCGGTTGAGCATCCCACTCTTGATTTTGGCTCAGGTCATGATCTCAGGGGTTGTGAGATTGAGCCCCATGCTAGTCTGGCCCCGTGCTTAGTGGGAAGTTTGCTTCTTTCCCTCTGCCCCTCCCCCTGCACATGAACGTGCATTCTTTTTCTCTCTAAAATAAATAAGTCTTAAAAAAAAATTGAGGGATTCTTTGTATCCTTTACCCAGTTTCCCCCAATAGTAACATCTTGCAAAACCATACTATGGTATCACAACCAGGATGCTAACAATG